AAAACGACCACTTCCCACCTTTCGCCCTGCGTCTCCCCCCCCCCCCCCCCCCCCCTCCCTCCTCTCTCTCTCTCTCTCTCTCTCTCTCTCTCTCTCTCTCTCTCCTTCTCTCCCCGCCTATAATCTTACATTAAAATGACACCGTCCAAGAGGACCACCAGTCAAAGATAATCAATGTTCTCAGTAACAATGTAAGACCGTCTTGAACAGTATCGAGAGTAATTACAAAAGCGGTTCTCCGTGTTTTCTGATTCCTTATTCAAACATGCGAGTCCATGTCGCGGATGGAACCTAAGATCAATAAGTGCCGTACATCACGGGACTCACGACATTACTAGCACAGGTGACCCACGACACTTGGTTCCCAGCTCTGTTTGGAATCACTCTACGGAGAAACGTTGAGGGGCGGAGTCCAAATAATAATTACAACCAGCCAAACTTGATCTGCTATCTTAAGGTTCACAAAGTTGTTAAAGTAAATAATATGTTTGTTGGGCATCGTTTTCCGTTCGTGTTCTTTCACTTAGAACATCGAAAGGGGGTCGATTATCAGATTTTTAAATGACGTCATCAAATTTCTCGAAATTAAAATGAGAATTGAAAGGACACCTTTCAATGCTGGGTGATAACAAAATCAGATTCCTATTGGAGTTAAGAGTTGGGATTTTCATTTACATTTATTGTATAAGAGATGTACCTAAACGCTCACAACACCAGACTCAGCAGACCTTCGTAATAAAACATCCTCTATGTCTGAAGGTTGGGAGAACTTGTAGATCCAAAGCAGGCCTTGCAGCCCATAAACGATCTTGTCTGGCTTAGATCACAATCACAAACATCTTCAATATCGGTGGACAGCCGAAGGAAGAAATTGTTTCAGTCTGATACGTTAAGCGTATTGCTAAGCACACTTTATGAATAGCCCACTCCAGAAAATCCCAAGTAATACATGTACATTGGGGATTTTTTTAACGCCCCCATTGATACAAATTAGAGTAAGCCACTCCAGAAAATCCAAGACGACAAAAGCACATAAAGAAACAGATAGAGTGGGGAAAGAGAAAAAGGAAGAGGGTGGATTGAAGAGAGGAGAAAGAGAGGTATTATTGTTGTCTTGTTGTTTGCTCTGCTCTACTCACTGACACGATGTAATTATTTTTAAAGCAGGGGATCTTCGTAAAACACGAAAAACATTGTTAAGAAAAAAACCCCATTATATATCGTAAGAATAGTTTTTAAAGTAAACATCACTCTGATACGAATCCGGTCGAGTTCGTGACTAGTAAGACCTCAACCGCTCTTATTAATGGACAAAGTGAGGTCGTGTTATTTTATAAGTATATGCGTGTGTGGGGGGAGGGGGGAGGGGGGAGGGGGGAGGGGGTTGTGTGTTTGTGCGCGCGTGTTAGAGGGAGAGAGAAAGAACAAGAGTGGGGAGCGGGCAGTGAGGAGAGAGGAATAGAGTGAGTCAGAGAAACAAAAACACGGAGAGAGCTTGAGAGAATGAGTTATGAGTACACTGAGCTGTCTTTGTTGAACAACAATACATGTAAATCAATTAATAATTATGTTTGACTCACAAAAGGCAGGACGATCGCTATATCATTTGTTCCTTTGTCTTTATCTTTGCTTTTGTTAGGCTGTATACATAATACTATTGTTTAGCGTCCACTTTTCATACGTGCAGCATTCAGCATAAGCCACACTCTCAATGGGAAACCTTTCCACTAAAAGAGGAAAAATCCAGATAACTTTAGGAACGTAAAAGTGCTCTTTGGTATTAAAGGCAACGCACGCCTTGCTGTTTGTCGAATCAAAGTGATCGTTTTTGGTCTGGAAGTTCGACGGGCCAGTGTACCCAAGGGCCAGCGTGACCTTTTTGAAAGACCGTCAGCCAAACGAAACTGTAGCCTCTACAGTTAGGGTATTATGGGCGACCCCCCCCCCCCACCTCCCTTCCCCCAACTTCTTGTATGAATCAGTTTTTCCTGAATATATCATGTACCAGTGAAGAAAATTATAAATTAAGTTTGCTTTTTAAAGTGACTTCTTGCTCTTCGAAGACAGGAATGACTCTGAAAGGTAGGCTCCGAACTTCTCAGTAAACTTGATGAGCCAAAAAACTAAGCATTTCTGGTGTCAACTCAAGAAAATCTATTCAGCTTACCCATGACGTTCAGTAGCTCTCCGCAAAACAAAATCATAGCATAAAATACGTTATTGTTGCACGTCCTACATTATGAGAGGAGTATCTCTATTCAGAACTCTCATCGAGTATTTTGGTATGTCTGAGGGAACGTTGTATCACTCTCAGGCCAGGGTGGCCCAGACAGGCAGGATCTGAGCTCGCTCCCTAAACCTAATTATCTAAATTGTGTCTATGGGGGCCTAAAAACCTTTATTTGAATAACAGTTTTTCAAAAACTATACTTTGGCCACAATAACTGTGACGATTCGCATCCACTTTTTTCTTCAGAAAAAAAAGTTATCATAACAGCTCATTGGCGTAAATTGTAAAAGCATGTGCCGTCTTTTTTGGAACCTTTTTCTCCAACGTTATCAAGATGGCCATCTGATGGGACGACCAGTGGGTGCAACAGAGCCCTCAATGTTTAAGGTTGGCTGTGCATGCATATTTTTAGTACGATTTAAATGCTGGAATTAATGGAGGATTTAGACCTGGCATTAGAATTACGCTCTAAACCTTTTGTTTTCGAAAAACAGCTTTACACTTGCTTAAAATTGCATGAACGTATTTTGAGCGCATTGCTTGGTCGTGCTTGGTTTTTAAAAACTATATTACTTTCTAAAGAATGCATTATGCATTGAAAAGAAGCTTCCCGTTTCCAAGCAATATATTTTAACTGCATTTTCCAGCTGGACTCTGCTGGGAGAAAACAGGGTTACTGTGTCAGGCAATAAAAGCTTTTGAGGAAGCAAAAAGCGGCAGAGCCATTGAAGTGATCTGTTCCGTGCCGGGAGAGAGCACTATACAGCTTCTAATAGGACTTGCCTTGGGGTGTGGGAGTAAGCAGAAGTTAGATATGTAAAGAAACTGTGATAGAGAGAAACACAGAGGGAATCAGAGAAAGAGAGAGAGAGAGAGAGAGAGAGAGAGAGATAGAGAGATAGAGAGAGAGAGAGAGAGAGAGAGAGATAGAGAGAGAGAGAGAGAAACAGGCAGTTGAGAGAGATTGACAGAAAGAGAGAGAGACACAGAGAGAGAGACAGAGAGAGAGACAGAGAGAGAGACAGAGAGAGACCGAAAGAGACAGAGGGAGAGAGAGAAAGGGAGAGAGAGAGAGAGAGAGAGAGAGAGAGAGGGGGGGGGTAAAGTGTGTATGTATGAGAATCAAGACAGAAAAACAGGCACAAAGAGGGATAGAAAGAGAGAGAGAGAGACAGACTCAGAGAGAGACATGGAGAGAGACAGAGAGAAAAAGAGAAAGAGGAAGAGAGAGAGCTTAGAGAGAGAGAGTGTGTGTATGTAAGAGAATCAAAGGGCGTAAAACTTGTATATTATGGCGACATCCGAATAACCTCGTTGCATATTTTGACAAATACAGCAAGGGGAAAATGGCTTGGAAATCCTCAAGGAGTTAGATAAAAGCTGTCAGTTTTCTTAATTTTTTTTTCTGTCGTCCTTATTCCCAAATAATAAAATCGGTGTCTATGAGGTAGAAGATGCAAACAAGCGCATTGGTTTTTCGGGGGGTTTTTCTGTTGGTTTCTTCGGGGGGGGGGGGGGGTTGCTTGTGTTGGTTTTTTATTTGGAAGCAGAATCTTTTGGTAGAATTTGATGTCTTTGATTTGCAGCTCTGATTCTGTGAATACATTTGGTAGACAGATTGATCATTTGGAAGAACATAAAGCAGGACGTGATTTTCTTATTGGCTAGGATTGTAGACGGATTTAATGTACGCTTCTCAAGGTCTCGGAGAAATCCCAAGTCTGGCTTCTTTTTTTGCATCTCAATAACAGGGGCCAAGAGACGGGATGAGCTTGGTTGAAGTATTCATTGGCTCGGCAGATAAAATGTTCAGCTCTATTGAAATGTTGTCTTCCGGGTAAAAGTAAACTGTAGCCCTCCATTCTATGCTTACTTCAGCAAGTAGATCCAGGGCGTATACACTTAGTTTAGCAACATTTGGGTCGCCTAGAGGACATTCGCGAATCTGATTTTTTAGATACTGAAATGGGGGGAGGTTAGATAGTTTAACCAATGTTGTCTTTGATGTTTACATGCTTTGATACATTAACAATGAAATCACAGGAAGCCTTCCAAGAGTAGAGACAAAATAAAATCGTTCACATTTACTTCATACCCAAACATGGCAAGTCTTATTTCCAGTACGAATATTAGGGGTTCTACGCATCGGGCTACATTAAATTGCGTAGATACCATCCAAACGTGCAAACATTGTTCTATATTCCCATGGAGGCTGTCAGAACACAACAGCACGTGCGGTTGGTGTGCGCTCTGGTGTGGTTAACTTCTTTTATCATTATTTACTGTCGCTCTTTTCTGCCCACGCGTTTTATATTTGTACAGCTTTTGTAACTATTTATATGGCTTTAAGTGTTGCAAAATCGTGAAATCTCTAATCAAACCAAAACAAAGCCCTTGAGGTTTCTTTTTATCGCTGAATCAAATCCCGACACGATAGAAGTTGGGTGTGGGAGGTGTTCTGTTAACAAATCTCAATTTTAAAAAACAAAATATATCCAGTTATTGATAAACTTCCAGTACATAATAAATTCCAATCAAGCATATAAGAAAAGAGTTTCATGGAGAAGAATTGCATTGGCTTGAGAAAAGAGATGGTCTTACAGACAGACAGACAGACAGACAGACAGACAGACAGACAGACAGACAGACAGACAGAGGCTCACCTGAGCAGCGGTTGTAGGTAAATCAAAAATCCAGGTACGATCAGAACTCTACAGGTATCTGTAAACACAGAACTCAAAGGATGGTATAAAGTTAGCCTTTTTTCGAATCTGTAGTAATACGTCGTATACCATCAGCGGCTAGCAGCACCCTGCGATGATCGTGTACTCCGTCACAGTGTCAACACAGTCATCTCGGGAGGTGAAGCATGAGCAGGCTTTGTAAATATTACCTGAGGGTTGAAGATTGTCCGGCGTTAGAGTAGAGCACACTGTGGAAGATGAAGAGTGACACTATTAGAAATCCTTTTTTTAAAATTGAAATTATTGTTGCTCTTCTTTCCCTGTGTTGTTTGTGTTTGCGTATCTTACAGAACGGAACAAGCAAAACAAATATATTTTTCCTCATGAAGCACTTTTCCTATGTCATTGGTTGGACTGTATTCATTACTCTAAGTTTGTTTATAATTGAACTTCTTCTAAGAAGGGCTGCTAACATAACCCCACCGCCACCCCCCCCCTCCCCCCCAATCCCCATATTTTGATACAGGTCCACTGGTAAGAATGAAACTTCAATTGTGTTCAGGGTTATACCACGAAAAAATACAAACTCAAACAGTACCCTCTTCAAAGGGCTGTCGTAACAGTGTAGACGTCTCCAAAACTTGCGACATGGCGGTCTCGTAATGACAACTGTAAACATTTAATGCGCCCATCAAAACAACTGAGGTTATTTCGAAGATGGGCTACACAGACCATAATATTAACAAAGCTCATCCTGATTGAAAGAGATACAACGTCCCAGCAGACCTGCGGAGATACTTGATGTAAAGGGATAATAATAAATGAAACCACCAAAACTAAAGCCCCTAAAATAAACACAACGAAACAAATACGAAATGTCTCTTGACACAACAATCGAACTCACGTGTTTAGAGTGCATCATGACATCAGTAAAGAACCAAACCCTACACCACAGGTGCCTGTTTTATTCTGACAAGAGCGACACTGACAATATTTAAAAGAAGCAGCTCATTCTTTTTCTAGTTTTTGATTTCTTTGAAAGACATGTTTTGTTTGAGTTATTAAAGTGAAAGCTGTACGCTGCACACTTGACACAGAAGGACGAGAAATTCTACTAAGTTCTATCCACTATAACGTGTTTTAATTTGTCTTTACATGTCGTTTTTTTGTGTGGTAGTTTCTACGCACCCAACGACCCAATGTAGAACATACAGGACACAGAGGTCATGTTTGAAAAGAAACGAACACCACCAAATACCAGACAGTTCACAAGAATGTTTTTTTTAAATTTTACTGAACAAATTTCTTTTTCAATTCGGTTTTCCATTAACATCACGGAACTGGATCAAATAACAAATTAAGCAGTGAAAGAAAACGAGGCTAGGAAAACAAACAAAAACACGAATTTTACTGGAAAAAAGGTCTCCCAGAAAGGAAGTAATTATATTTTCTGTCGTAATGATCCACAACATCCAAACCCTTTCAGAATGTTAAAGTTTCATGAACATCCACAGTGATTAGAAAGTCATTTTGCTTCCATTTTTTCCACAATGAAGAAGACCAAAAATACAAGCGAAAGCGAAATTCTATACGTAAAAGACTGAGACAAGTATCTGTTTATTTTTCCAGAGCACGTAATGAAGAAACAAATGGCTCTACTGGTAAGGAGGTAGTGATTTCTTTTTTAAAATATATTTATTGTCCAGTCAACAGGAACAAATCTGAGCAAGAAGTCGAACGTAGTAGTAGTAGTAGTAGTAGTAGTAGTAATAGTAGTAGTAGTAGTAGTAGTAGTAGTAGTAGTAGTAGTAGTAGTAGTAGTAGAAGCAGTAGCAGTAGTAACAGTAGCAGTCACAGTAGTAGTAGCAGTAGGGTCAGTTGGGAAAAGTTGAAAAACAAAGAAGACTATTGATCTTGGTAATTCGAATAGCATCGTGTGTCACTGGTATTAGCGCAGAAATGTCTTGGAAGAACCCTTTAAATCAACTCGATTTGTTTGTATTATTACTCCGGTGTGAAACATGATCATATGAGAAAGACATTGCGCAATCCATCACGGAGATTGTGTTTATGAACGCGGAATATTTGCATGCACTGTGTTATATGGTTGGCTGGGTGGCTGACAGTTCCCTCAATAACTGTCTTTCTGCACTCTAATATCAGCTTCGGGGGATTTATGGAAAAATGTTTGGCACCACAAAAGTTCAGTTGGTTTCTTGGTGGGGTACAACGAGGAAGGCCCATACTCGAATCCTTAAAAAAAAGCTTTTTAGAATTATATTTTAGTTGTTTGGTGATTCTTTAAGGTTTTCTACCAATTTGGTTATAATCGGTTAGACATGAATGCTAAGCTCGTAGGTCTGGTATCTAAAGTGGCCATACAAAGAGGGAAATTACAACAATAAACCGAACTTGCACCATAGCGAAATTATTGTAGGCGTATTTTGCATCTTCCGAAACAGTTTTCCTGCTTCGATATTATTTCATCAGCGTTTGTTATGACTTAAGTAGTATTACGTACTGACCGGAAAATGTGTACGCCTACAAAGTCTGTCTTGCATTAACACATAGTAAGGCTAAGTATTTTCTGCTTGTTGCTTTATACTGAAAAAGACAATGATGTTCTCAATCTTGACACTGGTTATTTAGCATTTTGCATTCGTGTAATTTACTGGTTCGTACATAACCTACTGTCTATGATAGTCTTTGCGCAAATACCATGAAGTTTTTATGTTTTTGCTTCTCCGTCAGATACAATGCAGCGATTTCTGTTCCATACGGTTCGAACAACTGAGCAGCACACACTCAACGTACAATTCTGAGTAGAAAAAGCAAGAAATGGACTCCCACAAGCTTAAACTTTCAATATATGTGGCTAGAAGAGTTTAATACTAAGTTGTCCCGAGATAAAGGCCTGGATTCAACACGTTGCACTTTGGCATAAAATATTATTAGTATTCTGATATAATTCTGTTTCGTTGTGTGTGTGTGTGTGTGTGTGTGTGTGTGTGTGTGTGTGTGTGTGTGTGTGTGTGTGTGTGTGTGTGTGTGTGTGTGTTCGGAGGGGGGGTAGAGGTGATTATGTTATGTATCTTGCTTTAATATTGGTAAATGTTTACAGACAAGGCTTCCTGTGCTATCAACGCGAAGTGCAAGGGTAGACACCAAAACACAAACCACACTGCAAAAGTCAGAACTATGAACTTACTGAAATATATTCGTAGCTGCGTAATAATTGTAGATGCAAATTCCTCAACTCTGGGATATAACAAGACCCTTATAGTCACAGAGGAGAGGAGAAAATTGTCAACATGCAAAAATATAGTCGTGGGCCAAAGATGAATGATGCTAATGAGAGAGAAAGTGAAAATACCAATGAGGAAGGCAGATAGAGAGGTGAGAGACAAAGAGAGAGGGGGAGAGAGAGGGGGAGAAAGGGGGAGAGAGAGGAGAGAGACAGAGTGAGAGGGGATAAGAGAGAGATAGAGAGATAGTGAGAGATAGAATGAGCACACCAGCGAGGGAGATAGAGAGAGAGGGGGGGGGACGAGAGAAATGTGGGAAACGGAAGAAACAGAGAGAGAGACAGACAGACAGCACGTGAGTCATTTTGTGAGTGATTGACGAGGAATAACGAGCTGAAAGAGAAAGCAGGGAACTTGCAAACAGAAGAAGGAAATGAGTGTGCATGATGGAATCGAGACAGAGATGCAGTCGCGAACAAGGCTACTCACCAGTAACACCAGACAACCATCAGACAGTCAGACAGGAACCCTCGTATGGATTTGGTATACCACACTCAAACGTTATGGATATCTCTTCCCAGTGTTGTTTCCATTTAACCCGTTTATGTATTCATGCAAATGTTTATATTAGTGTTAACATGTTATATTATTAAAGAGACACATGTGCGGAGCTGTTTGTTCGTCTGTGCTTCTCTTTTCTTCTTCTTCTTTCTCTTCTTCTTCTTCTTCATCTTCTTCTTCTTCTTCTTCTTCTTCTTCTTCTTCTTCTTCTTCTTCTTCTTCTTCTTCTTCTTCTTCTTCTTTCTCTTCTTCTTCTTCTTCATCTTCTTCTTCTTCTTCTTCTTCTTCTTCTTCTTCTTCTTCTTCTTCTTCTTCTTCTTCTT